GTCTTCCCACTCCCCCCAGGCTGAAAGTTTGCCAGCCTGCAAAGGGAAAACCCAGTGTTTCCCATACTTTTCTTAAAACGAGAAAATCCATGTTCTACCATGGTGAATGGAAAACCCGGATCCCTGATAATCACACTGGTTCTAACTCTTAGATTAGGGTTGTCCAACTGGTGGCTTGCAAAGGATTAACATGTAGCCTGATCCTGCACTCCCAACCCAGCCATGCACTGACCCTGTGCCCAGTTGGGCCATGTACTAGTACAATCTAGCATGGAGGGCCATGTTATCCAGTGCTGGGGCTCCCCATGTCCAGAAATTTGGTATCAGGGGAGCACAATTAACACTTCTGAATTTCTGGAGCTCTGGGGAGCCCCATGGGCTGGATCTGACCTGCAGGCCGGAGGTTAAGCATCACTTGCTGAGAGGCAAGTCTGAAAGGAAGACAGGGATTTCTCCAAATCTGGACCTTCAGAGAGACTCATTGAAAAGAAAAAGCTAATGTTAAAACCATATATGATGGCCTAGAGGTAACAGTAGTAGCCACAGAAATAAAAGCTAAGAAATATATTCATGTAACTATCCAGTCCCTATATCATACAAGGGAAAATAATGGCAATTTTGAAATAAAACCATTTTGTGTGCAGTTATCATTTACTGGACCACATCACTTCTCTACATAGTAATATACTGTAGGTGTTCAACAATGCCACCATCAGTGTTCCCTGCTGCTGTGTAGTTTCCTACTTTGTCACAGACATACAGCATGACCAGCCATTTTGCTGTTAGTTTCCAAAGCACCCTTGTACATTTCAAAATTAATAGAAGCTTGCCAGATTCTTACCAATTGCCACAAAAGAAGAAAGCTGCTAAGTGAATATCACAGGCTCATTAACTACTGTTCTTCTCTAATGCCTTAGCCAATGTATACAGAAATATCTGTCTCTGTTTCATTTGTGAAGGATTCAGTAGAAGTGTCAGCTCCATCGGACTTGATGCACCTGCTGATAAGTAAACTGAAAAAGGAACTGCTTCTTCTTCTTAGCACAGGAGAGGCAGTCTTGCAGAACCATGTGGGCAATCTAGTTCCATTTTCTGATGTTTAATTCACACCACAGTGGAACGCCTCTTGCAGAAAGTGTTCTAGTGTCCAAACTCACCTTGTCAGATTGTCACAGTACCTGCTTCCAATGTCATTATTAACATTTTCTTTCAGTTAGGGCAGGTGTATGTGCAGAAGAGATAGTTGAAGGCCCAAAATTCTGCCGTCAGCTCACTGCTACAAATCCAGAACAACTCTATTGTTTTCAGCAGTTAGTCTGGATTTATACCAGTGTCACCGAGCAGAATTCAACCATAAGGGCCTCTGCTGGAAGGCTCTGAGCTCCTGCCAGAGCTCAATGAGGCTGCTTCATTGGATTAGGCCTGTATTCATTTACTCTTTCTTAAGAGTAAGATTTAGTGTTTATAAGTTCTTGTTTTCAGTCTTCTCTTACAGTTACAATAGAGCGGCGTCTTCTTGTTACCTTTGCCAGTTTTGCAGAATCTTATTCGAACTAGAGTCCAGGAGAATCTGCCGCTAATAAAGCAAGCTATGAACTGGGAACTCTTAGCAAATCACGTAGCATCCCACAGCACAGTTGTCACTGAAGCACTGCCACAAGGAGTCATTTGTAAGTAAAATGGAAGGGGCATCCTGGGAAATGCTGCCAGCTCTATTAACTAAGAATGCTGGTTAAAATGAGGACCTTTATCTTCACGCAGCTGCTCTAGCGGGGCAGCAACTTCCACAACTCACAACGGCTGAAAAATACCCATCCGTGGCGGCATTCAGCATCAAAGTCTGTTGCCTGCCCTCCAGTCACACACACAGATCAGTTCTAAAATTCCATGATCGTCCAAGGTACCAGCGTTTCCTGTCCAGGAAACTACCACAACCAGCAGGCCTCCAAGATGGGTTCAACCATAACTTCTTGCTTATTGTGAGATCTGGAGAGACAGGAGTCTAAAGCAGGAGACTAGAAGTCAACGTTCTTAGGTTTATGGCACAGGCTCTTCTGCTGACCTGCTCTTGGGCAATTCTCATTGCCTCAGTTACTCTGTTTATCTCATAGGTGTGTTGTGAGGCTTAATTCATTAAAAGCAATTCTGACATTGTCAAATTAAATGGTTCCATTATTACTATAATCACCATCATGTCTACAAGCCTCATCATAAATCAGGACCACATTTTTTTTTTAACTATGACAGACAAATTTTCCATGGCCTCAACCACTAAATTTTACACAAGCAATAGAAAGAGACCTGAATTCAGGCATCACAGAACTGAGATAGGCTTGTAAATGTTTGTTGTTACAGCTAATTTGCAGACAACACCAAGTGGAGTTGAAGACACTCCTGAAGGCAGGACTAAGATCCACAATTACCTGAATAAACTGGAAAAATGATCTGCAGTCAACCAGGTTACATTTAACAAGGACAATAACAATGGCCTGCAATTGGGACAGAATAATTGCATGCACCAGTACAGACTGGGGGGGCAACTGGCTAGGCTACGGTACTGCAGAGAAGCGCCTAGGAGTTACAGTAGACAAGGGATGTCAAACAGCTTACAGGCTGGATCCACCCATGAAGCCACATGATCTGCTCCATGGGTCTCAGACAAACCCCACATGCTGCATGTAGCACGAGGGGCCAGTTGGGCGCACAAGCTGGATTCAGTGCTGACGGCACTGCTTGCAGCAGAGGTGGGTTAGTCTGGGGCATGAGCTGCACACAGTGCCTGCACTGAACCAACTCAAGCATGTCTTTATTACCTTTGGAAGCACAGTGTTTTCCGTTGCATCCGTTTGTTAATAGCTGCATCCTTTTCAGCTTAGACAATGAAGATGATAAAGTTTATTTCAGTTTTTTGGTCAGTTTCTCTTTAATTTTCAGGTTCATACACTAGCCCTATGCTGCTATTACGGGCTGCACTCTTACGACAGCACGGCAATCCCCAAAATAAAATACATTCTTTTAGGTTGTAGGTTTAAGAGCCTGGGTGGCATTTATTTCCTTGTGGTTGTCTACGTGGCATTTCTGGTGCTTACATGAAGGTAGACATTTTGCACACACATGACCTGGTACATACATGCATATCTGAGTGCAAGTTCCAGAAACAAAATGGAAGAGAAGGGCCCTGCTATGTTTTACCCAAAACAGCTGAGTTGTTAGGGCACTCAGCTGAGAAGCTAGACCCAGCTTCTAGGCCTCCCATGTCCAGAGGCAGCTTAGACCTGCATCTCTGACTAGTACAGTACTCTAACCACCAAGCAATAGGTCAGGCATTAGCTACCCCCCTTCCCCAGTGCTCCTTTTGAAGTGGAGCCGCTGTCCCTTGCATTTAATAGTCAACAGGAAAAAAAAGAATACAGGGCAGTACAAAATTTTTTGCCTCACTGGGAGCAAAGCTTCAGGCTAAATCAGGCCCCTTCCCTTCCAGGCCATCAGCCACACACTAAACCACATGCTCTTCCTTCTGGCCTCATATATGTCCCCAGGAGGGACATATATGGCCTCATACATGTCCCAGCTTGGGTGGGGTGCACAGTAGAGCTTCAAAAGGAACACCAAGAAAGGTTTGGATAATGCTTGGTTGTTACACTATACGAGGAGGTCAGAGAGATGCAGGTTCAAACCCTTCTGGCTGGGGTAAGGGGTTAGACATTGCATCTCCACCTTCCCAGGTAAGTGCCCTACCCATTCAGTTATTGGGGGCAAATCATGGGAGGACTCCCCCTTCTAACACCTGCCAATCACGATTTGATGGCATGTACATTTCTGGTATGCATTCATAAGGGGCCTACTACACATATCCTAGTCTACATACATGTACATGCACATACTTGCATATTTCATAGATTTCATAGACGTTAAGGCTGGAAGGGACCTGGGAAGATCAGAGTCCAGCCCCCTGCCCCAGGGGCAGGAAGTCAGCAGGGGTCATAGGATCCCAGCAAGATAAACATCCAAATGTCTCTTTAAAGCATTCAAGGTAGGTGCTTGAACCACCTCTGGAGAGAGTCTATTCCAGACCTTGGGGGCTCGGACAGTAAAGAAGTTATGTCCAGCCTGAAACAATCATGGAGGAGTTTGTTACCATTCAACCTTGTCATCCCTTGGGGTGCTCTGGTGAACAGACGTTCCCCCAGATCCTGGTGAGCACCCCTGATAAACTTATAGGCAGCCACGAGATCACCCCTGAGCCTGCGCTTTTCCAGGAAGAGTCCCATAACTCTCAGCCTGTTATCATAAGGACTGTTTCCCTGACCTTTAATCATGCGCGTGGCTCTCCTCTGGACTCTCAAGCTTCTCCACATGCATCCATGCTGCTGGGAAACAGAACTGCTACCTTTGCATAACTGTCAAAAATGCCACTAATACTACTAAAAACTGCTACACGGACGATGACAGAGAAACTGACACCTTTGAGCTGTTAGGAATCCTTTTAACTGCAAACAAAGAAAGGATACAGCTGAGGGCAAGTCAAGGCTAGGACAGAAAGCAGGGTTCTTTTTAAACGTGTTTGAAAACTTCCAATGTGCGGACACGGAAAGCTATATTTTAGCGCACAGGAGCTGGTCAAGTGCAAGCCCAAATACAGCCTGCACAGTCTACAAAAGACCAGTGGGATGTGTGTTAGAATGCATTAGTGAGCACGGTCTACAAAACCCACTTTTTAATCCTAGACTCCAAAGATCGGGTAGGTGGCAGGCCTCTCCTGGCACATTCACCAAAATCGAATAGCAATGAGAAAATTTAAAGGTATGTTCATGCATGAAGAACGCATTTAGAATAGTCCAGGCCTCACTGCAGGTTCTATAGGGTACCTGATGCTCCCAACTTGCATTCATTTCAATGGGGCTTGAGTGTACACAGCAGTTCCCAAGACTGGGCCTCTCAGCAAGATTCTCTGAGGGAGGA